TATATATATACTTAGGATTGATATTGAGCATGATGCTCCAAATGGTGCATTTATCCAAAATTCAACAAAGTGTGACATCAACTTCACATTCACTACTGACTGAGCGCGTGCTCTCTATAGGAAGTCACTGGTTTTCCGCTAAGACACAACCCTATCATAGTTGTCCCCTCTAACTGGCTAGTCCTTATCCATCTCTGCAATGTTTATTTAAATAGACTTCTGTATTACTGATAACAAGGCTGACCCATTTAATATCAAGCAGGACACATCCTACTCTGGATCTCTGTAAAGTTATCATAGATCGTACAGAAACTGGATCATTACGTAATGCTTGGTCTTTCTCTCTGACACACATTTCTGATTAGAGCTGGTGATTTGAATCCCAATAAGAATTCCCACAGTCTGCCTAATTCCTGTTCCTGCCTAAATCTGGGAGGGGGCCAGTAAGCTGCTAAGCCTTTGGCTTTAAACACACATTCACACAAACTGACACACACATATGGACACTTGTGTACTCTCACTGATATAACTGGACATGTATTTTCACACAGTATGTAATTCAAACACATGTACTCAAGCATATACTGCCCTGTACATATACTCTATATAGTATACACGCATACGGGCATGTAACCTTAGAAGCATCCACTTCAGTTGAAACTCTTAAGAGCCTGGTATGAACACAGGGAAGCCCAGGAGACAGAGTGTAAAACGAATGATAAGAAATCTGGGTTTCTTTTTTCTTCCTTGTCAAAGTTTTTCTTTTTCAGACACTGATAAAAGAGAAGTCAACAAAGGGAATTGAAGACAAAGCTTTAAAGAGTTGGAGGATGTGAGAGAGAAGTTGAAGGAAGGAAATGAAGGAAGGAAAGAATGTACTGTAGGATAAGACGGAAATAGCAGAAAGTTACTTTGAACATGTTAGTATATAAGAAACCTGTTTTTCCTCAAGATTGTTTTTCCAAGTACTTTTCCCACTTCAGTTTCTACAGTGCATTTTCGTAGAGATGTGTTCATGTGTCACATGCATCCATATGGTGTACAAAGGCACACTGTACGGTATATACAATGACATATCATAGTGTGTTCTATTATTTCCTGCATGTGCCATCCTGTTACAGTCTCATGCAAAAGTTTAGGCACTCCTTGATAAATAACTGATTTTGGTGATTTTTTATTTGAACAGATGTTAACACAGTTTCTCTTGGAAATGGAAAAAATGCACAATATTTTCAGCAAACAGTGATGCATAGTTACTTCTTATGCCATAAATTGAACAAAAATAAAAAATAAAAACATTATTATGGCATGGTGCAAAAGTTTGGGCACCCTAAGAGTTCCAGAGTCTCAAAGTCTCTCACAAGGTATCAGACCTTAATCAGCTCGTTAGATCTGATGCACAGCAACAGCTGTCATTGGTAAATGCCAATTTCAAAGCTGTACAAATACTTTGACTCTTCAAACCTTGTGCACACACTTGTGGACACCCAGCAACCATGGGTTCCTCTAAGCAGCTGTGTAAGACCCTGAAAATGAAAGTTATTGACGCCCACAATGCAGGAGAAGGCTACAAGAAGATAGCAAAGCGTTGTCAGCTTGCAGTTTCCACAGTAAGAAATGTAAATAAGAGATGGCAGATCAGGGGAACTGTGG